CACACACACGTATGCATGCACACACACACACACACACACACACACACACACACACACACACACTATTGCAGATTCAGAGACATTCCTGGACATACTTGGGGACCATGGGCCACATGAGACACAGAAAAAAATCCTCATGAAGAACTTCATGAGCCACATCCTCTCCTAATTTGAACCCCAAAGTTCTTGAGAGCAAGAGCAAGTCTCTCTGAGATTAAAGGAATCCTATGACCTTTGGCCGGGTGATTTGCCCTTGGTACCTCATCTGAACCATGGGAGTTATAATAGAAACAACTTCTCAGGACTGTTGGGAAGGGATCAGGATACTTCATGCTGCAGCACAATAGCTCGTGTGGGCCTAAAAGACAGTAGACTCAGGAACTGTGTCCCCACAGTACAGCCCCAACACAGGTAATAGAAATAGCAAATGCTGCTAGGTGGTGGGATCCAGTGGGACCCAGCCAGCAGAACCAGGAACTCGAAGTCAGAGGTTTCCAAGGGATGCTCCCAGCTTTACACCCACTGTTTTCCACTCCAGCATCATGAGAAGACATGTCAGCCAACCCTTCTTTAGTTTTATTCTTTCAAATGCAGGTGACTTTTCCGTGTCATGTTTTAACTTCTTCACGTTTCTTCATGGTAGTGGCTAACATTAGTGGACAGCCATGCCTGCCTGGTTCCTACATAGCTGCTGTCTCCTAAGTTGAGAATACCCCCCCCCCCGGTGCTGATGTAGAAAAAGCCAGCTTTGCTTCTCTCTAGGTTAGCTTTTTTTTTTCCCATGATGTGCATACTGTTTCCCTAACATTGATTTAGCAAGAACAAACGTCATTCCTGAGGAAGGACAAAGTTAGTTATGGGGCTCCGGTATCAGATCTGTAACTATTTTGATAGGTGACCACTTGCCAAATATTGAGGTCAGGAGATGGGGAAATGGCTTAGTGAGTAAAGGCTTGCTGTGCAAGCATAAGAGTCTGAGTTCTCAAATCCCCAGAAGGCATGTGAAATCAGGCACAGTGGCACACAATTGTAATCCCGGCATTCCTCAATGAGATGGAGATGAGGACAGGAGAATCCCCAGAAGCTCATGGGCCACCAGCCTGGGGTGCACAGCAGAAGACGACAGAGACCCTGTCCCCAACAATTCAGAAGGTGAGAACTGACATCTGAAGACATTCTTTGACCTCCAACGTATGTATGTAAATTCATACAACAAATGCAAACATACAGGCACACTTCATACACATACCCACAAATACAATGAAATGTTGAAATCAGAGCTAATATGCCCAGCATATAAACTGAATGTTGTATTGAATTCAATTACCCATGCTTTCTGGGTCCTCCTAGCTTCTGTGTGGGGTGCCTGCCTCAGAGCATGGATAAATGAGTACCAGAGCCTGAGAGAGAATATGTCCATTACAAATAAGACCCTCCCTCCTGTCCTGTTCAGACAGACATCACTAGTTGGTCCCAGAGCCCTTTCCTACAGAGCTTGGATATGATCGGTATTAGCAAACTCAATGAGACCCTTTTGCCCTTTCAGTTTTGAAATTCTGAGAGACCGTGAAATACTCCATGTGGGATTGGCTCTTAGTAACCATTGGCTGAAGTCGCTGGGCCACTATCTACTTATGTGAGAGACACTGGCTTCACAAAGGACCAGGAAGGAAAGGGAGATGAAGCAGTAACCCCAGGAAGGCCTTAGGCAACTCCCCAATAAATCATTTAGCTATGGAGCTCAGGTGTTCATGATGCATACTCAGGACAGAGTCATAATGGGGCCCATTAAAAAACAATTATACTGAGGCCTGGGTCTGGAAGACGTGACCAGCTTCAGTGGGGTTTTGTGCTCGGACTCAGTAGGTACCATGCCAGGCTGGGACAGAGAATTGTCCCTTAGCGCTGTGGTGTCACTGTGGTGTGGAAGAAGAAATGTGTGAAAATCTAGGTAGGTGTGGAGACCATGGCAGGGAGCAAGCTAGTGGGACACAACATTTCTATACATAGGGCTTCGTGTTCTGCTGATCTTTAGGGCCAGCTGGTAAATGCATAAGCTAGCAGGGGAAGGAACGGGGTTGGCAGGAACAGGAATTGGGGATGAGGGCCAAATTGAGAGTAACCTAAAGCACAATGGGCTGTTTCTAGAACTCTTGTCCCTGGAGCTGGAGCAATGACATGTTGATACTTGTGCAACAGGAGAAGTCCCTTGCCCACTGTGAGCCTCAGCGTCTCCATGGCAACAGAACAGATTGAATAGGATGAGCTAAAAATTGTTTCAAGGCTGGCAGGGGGGTAACTTCAGCCAGGGCTGAAAAGGGGAGGGTGAAATGAAGACCAGTGTGTGTGAGTAGTAGAGTAGAAGGCCAAAGAGAAGAGAAGTGCTTTTGGAAAGGAGGTGACAATTTTAAAAGCCTAACTGTGGATCTGGAACTAAATGCCCCATTCGCAGGGACATCATCCTCTCTGGCTGGAGCCTGTTGTTCTACACTGCTAATGGCTTCCTCTTCCACTCTCAAAATCTCCTTGTCTAACTGGTACAGTTGGTCATTGCCTACCTTACTCAGTGCTTCTCAAACCATAGGAGGAAGGCGCTATAACCACCACTTCCCAGGGAAGGGCATCTGAACCTTAGAGAAGCCCAACAATTTTCACAGGGCCACAAAGGCAGTAAGCACATGAGTCAGAATGGCATTAATTTGCAGAACACTGGAGTGGCAACCAGGAGGTATTGTATAAATACTGATGATAGTAACATGATTAGCAGCATATTTGCTGAGTTCCTAGTATGTGTCAGGTGATGCTCTGCATTCTGTGGATTGTTTCATTTAACCCTCTAATACTCAGTAACAGGAATTATCAATGAACTGCTCCCACCAGAAGACTGAGTTTCAGAGAGGTTCACTCACTGGCTTCAGTTCACACAGCCTACAAGGAATAAAACCTGTTTATTGGAACTCAGCTGTGTACCTCTGAGCCTGTGTTCATAGTGTCTGACCAAAATGCACAGAAAGGCCAAGAGGAGACAGTGAGAGAGGAAAGGGAAGGCGATGAGAAAGCCTTGGTGGGGAGGCTTGCAGTGCTTGTGCTATGCCCTTCTTTCTCTCTGCCCGGTAGGCATAGCCTCTGTGGGCTCTGGGCCCAGGACTGAATGCTCACTGTGCATATCCCCAAGGGAGAAGGGCCAGGGGCTGGTAATATGCTGTCCACATTGTCCTCAGGCATGAGGATCTGTCAACCAGAGAAGTTCCAGATCAGGTATTGCCTGCCCCAGCCCCTCCCTGGCACCTGGCAAGAGCTGTGTAACCACCTTCACATCTGCACACTGATTAGAAGACCAAGAGGAAGGAGCACTTGGGGACCAGAGGTACTTGTTTCAGTGGCTAGTCACAGACTCCCCAAACCGAAAGGTCCTTCTGGGTCATTTCCCAGATAGAACCACTGAGGCCCAGAAGAGAGAGAACAGCTTTCCCAGGTCCCACCCGGACTTAGCAGCAGATCTGCCACTCTTATCGGGGGCTACTCAGATACCCTACTGCTTGTTCCATGACTTTGCAAAAGCAATGTTAGGGGAAGGACAGGACTCAGCATAGGACTGCTTGAGTGGGGCGTATGGGGCAAGCATGATGTGGGTGGGGTCTGGTCCACCAAGGGTGGGCTCAGATTGCTGGTAAGCATTAGATTCCTTGTCACACCCATTCTAGGGGCAGAGAGAGAGGTTCACCCCTTATCTAAAATTCACTGAGCGTCTGTTAGGTCCCAAAACCCAGGCTCTCAGGGACCCAGGGAAGCTAGGAGCCAGAGCTGAGCTTCATGGATCTCTTAATACAGAGGAGAAAAACATAAGCAAACAAGTGTAAAACATCCTTGAATATGGGCTATGGACAGAAGCTTTTGTTTTAGAGAACAATGCCTGAGCTGTTGAATGAAGAGTGTCACTGAGTTATCTTGACAGACTGTGGCCGGCGTGTGTATCTATTTCCTCCTTTACACGGCTTTATGTATAAGATTCCTTCCTCCATGCTTTTTGTCTCATGGTATCCTCAACTACGGAGACACCAGTTAGGATAGAATTGGATGTAATCACCAGAATGGTGGCTCCCCACCCCGGGGACCCCCCCTCTGCCCCCCTGCTCATGGAGTTCTGATCATCATTTCACACAGATGGCAAGTCAAGAGGGTGTAATGCTGTCAGGTCTGAATCACTTAGGTCACCTCAGGGGCATCTCCAGGGCCAGATCATAGAGAGACGGGGTGTGTGACCTACTGGACTGTGAAAAAGTATAAGCTGGGACATGAGATGGCAGGTCACAATTTCTAGGTTCATATCCCTACAGAACCACCAAGGCATAAAAGGAAGAGCAGTATCGGAGGGGACATGGGGAGAAGTTGAAAGAATAAAGATATTAGCTTAGCAAGAGGAAGAGCTTGCTGACATGTCTAGGCAGGTAAGCTGCCGCTTCAAGAGCTGCAAGAATTTGGCAGAAGACCAGATTGATGGCTCAGTGGGTACAGGCAATAAAGGTACTTACTGTGCAAGCCTGGAAGTTCAATTCCCAGAGCCCATGTAAAGACGCCAGGAGAGCCAACTCGAAAAGTTGCCCTCTGTTCTCTACATGTGTGCCATGCACACACACATACACACATTATGCATGCACATGTATGCCCACACACACACATCGTGTATGCACACAAACATGCATAAAGAAATTCAGCTGAGGGAGCCGTGTTTGGTGACAGATACCTTTGCTGGCGCACTTAGGATGCAGAAGGAAGGATCAAGTTCAAAGTTTACCTACAAATAATGTTATACAGACTAAGCAGGTTATATATTTATGTATTCAGGAGTGTGTGTGTGTGTGTGTGTGTGTGTGTGTGTAAAATAATTAAAGACAAAGAGGCCATGAATTTGAAAGAGCAAGGGGTATATGGACTTGGAGGGAGGATATTGAGAGAAATGATGTAATTACATTATAATCTCAAAAAATTAAATATGAACTATAAGTTTTTTAAAAATAAATTCAAGATTGTTCTTGGCAACATGGTGAATTTGAAGGAATTCTTGATGTGACAAAACACTGTCAGAGAGAAAGGGAAAAAGGAAAGGGAATAAGGAAGGGAGGAAGGAAGGAAGGAAGGAAGAGGGGAGGGAGGGAGGGAGGAGGGAGGTAGATAGGTAGAAGGTCAGCTGAGGAAACTTGACCCTGGTCTGGGAAGCCATGACAGAGATGGTTTCTGAGATTCAAGCTTAATGATAATGGTGGTTCTGACTCATCCCACAGGAGTGGGAGATAAGGTTATTGAGAGGTAATTATCGCAGCCCTTGAAGATGGAGGGTCATCTTTATATCCAGGGTGGATATAAAGGGAGTGAGATCCGATGAGGGGGCTTGGGCCTTGTTTGGGTCATGGGAATCTGTGCTGGTTTCCTATTTCATTGTCACAGATCACACAAGCTCCTGTCACACAAGCTTCTGAGGCATCTGCATCCTTATCACAGATAGGCAGGAGAGCAGGAGAGCGTGGGATGAGAAAGAGAAGGGGGAAAACAAAGAGAGGGGGTGTGGCCAGACATTGAGAAATAGCAGGGTTATAAGGAGAATGAGTAGCTGGGGGGAGGGAAGTCCCCAGCTGGAGCTGGAGGGAGTTTGGGGGGAGGGGAAAAGGGGGAAGACACTAATGGGGACTTAGAAATGTATAGCAGGTACTTGTGAGCCTGGAGGCCAGCATGCACTCTGATATACTAATAGCCTCACAGACAGTCATTTGTCCCTTCTGCCAGTGAAATGTCTCCTTTAGGTAGAGAGGAACCAGCTTCACACGTTCCCGAGAAATGTTGGCTTTCATCTACCTGCCAGAAATCCTCCTATAGTCCAGGCTGAGTTCATTTCTGGATATTTGAACAACTTTTTGGAATTTGGGGTATTGGAGTCTCCTTTGGACCTTCTCACTGTTTCTCTGGAGAACCATGCCCCTTTCTACAGTGGTTTTCAATATCCATTGCCAAATGTGCCTGTTCCCTAGGACCCTAACTGAGGAGGTGTGGCTTCCTCTCCATCTCTATCCTCCCAGCACTGCTGAGATTTACAGCCTACCTGCCCTGTTGTTTTGTTTGTTTGTTTGTTTTCAAATTCTAATAAAATGGTCCTTGGGCTAAAAATTAAAATTAAAAATAGTAGATTCTTTAACAAGGTAGTCATTTTTATCTACTGTACTGATTACTTCTCTGCTGCTATTATAAAATACCGTGACCAAAAGTAATTTATACAAGGAAGAGTTTATTTGACTGACTGCTCCAGAGGGATAAGAGCCCATCATAGTTAAGAAGCAAGGCAGCAAGCAGGAGGCAGGGCAGCCAGAGCAGGAAGCTAAGAGCTCATTTTCTCAAACCCAAGCACAAAGAAGAGAGAACCCTGAAAGCCGTGCGAGGCTTCTAATATTAAGGCCCATCCCCAGTGACATACTTATGCAAACAAGGCCACACCTCCTGAACCTCCTCAACAGTGCCACCAGCTTGGGACCAAGTGTTCAAAAGTCTATAGAGGACTCCACTCCCACACTCCCCTCCTTGGTCCCCACAGGTTTGTGGCCATATCACAACACAAAATGTGTTTGATCTAACTTCAAAAGTCCCCATAGTTTCTCCCAGTCTCAACACTATTTAAAGGTCCAAAGTCGCTTTGGAGGCTCAGGCAATCTTTTAATTGCAACCTCCTGTAAAATAAAAAAGCAAATTACATACTTTCAACATATAACAGCATAGAATATAATTACCGTTCCAATAGGGAAGAATGGGAACATAGTGAAGAAATACTGGACCAAAGCAAGACCAGAACCCAGTTAGGAAAACATCAAGTCCAGTAGCTCTGTGGCCATCATCAAAGGGCTTAGATGGCTCCACTCTTCCAGTTTTTCTACTAGGAACACACATCTCCCTCCTGGGCTGTTCCACTCCCGGTATGCAGCTCTTACAGACAGACATCCCATTGCTCTGACATCTCCAACATCTTTCATCTCCAATGCATCCAGGCTTCACTTTCACAATTCCATACAGTGGCCTCTGAGGGCCTCTTTCCCTCATGCAGGGACTCCCCTGCCACATGCTCTCTGACCTCAGCATCTCTCTGAAGCTACAGAGGAATAATCCACAACCCCTCTACTCTTCCATCCTTTATGCCCTTAAAGCCAGAACCATGTGGACAACACCGCCATGTCTGGCTCCAGTATGGTCCCCTTTAATCACATCAGCACCGTTTTTTGTCCAGTTCCTTTCTGGGAAAAGAGAACTTCTTATGTTCCTTCACAAGCTGGAAGCTTAGCTGGGTGGGGTCTTTCCCTGAGGGCACCCTTCCCTTTACTCCAGGGCAGAGCTGACCTCTCCTTAACTGTGCTGCTCTCCTCAACAGTCACGGCCTCTCTTCTAGCACATGCCTTGGCTGTAACATTAAGCATCCCAGTGCCCTTTTTCTCTCCAAACTGCATTTTGGATTTCATTTTGACCCACTTGCTCTTTTTCATTGTAGACTTGCATAAGGGTTATCAATAATTAATTACCATACCACAAATCCAACATCATGTGGTCTTGAAATTTCCTCCACCAGTGGAATCAGTCCTTTGTTTTTAACTTAAGCTTCAGACAAGCTCTCAGGATACAAACAGAAGGCAACCAGATTCATTGCCAAAATACCACCTGAATGTCCTCTAGCCCAGTTACTGTTCAAATCTTCGCTTTCCTCTGAAACCTCTTAGCTAAGCCTCTACAGTCCGTATTACTTTCAGAACTGCTGCCTTCAGGATTCCTAATAGAACAGTGGAGGCTCTGCGTACCACATCCAGTGGCTTTTCTAGCCTAAAGTTCCAGAGCCTTCCACATTCTTCCAAACAACAGCATGATCAGGTTCCTCACAGCAGTAGCCCACTCTCTCGTACCAATTTATGCATTAATTATTCTGTATTAGTTACTTTTCTGTGCCTGTGACAAAAAAAATAAAACCACCATTACCAAAAGCAACTTACAGATGAAAGAGTTTATTTGACTTATGGTTCTAAAGGGATAGGAGTCCACCACGTCAGGGAAGGAGGGCAGCAAGCAGCAGGCATGACAGCAGAGCAGCAAGCTGAGAGCTCACATCTTCAAACGTAAGCATGGATCAAGGCTTTTAATCTCAAAGCCTGTCCCCAATGACATACACAGTCTTCTCCAGCAAGACTGTGCTACCTAGTGCTTCATAAACAGTGCCACCAACTGGCAGCCAAGGGTTTAAATGAGACTCTGGGGGACAGTTCTCACTCAAATCACCACACCTAACTTCTTCAGATCATGACCACTGTTAGAATCTCCATGATTCAGGCTCCTTTTGCATTTTAGAATCTTGAACTTCTAAGTCCGTGATGCTTGTGGGATCAAAAGTAAAGGTGGCAGAGTATAAGGGCTCTATCCAAGTAGACTCAAGTGCCAGAATCCAAGCTCTACTGCTTATGAAGTTCTGTGACTCTTCCTGCTTCCATTTGTAAAGTTGAGATAAACATCCCTCAAATGGCTAATGAAGATTAAAGAAGACAACATTTATAAAATACTTAGAAAACCATTTGTTTCACAGGAAGTCTTACTAAATAAAACCTATTCAGTGTCTCTGCCCACAATTAGTGTATGCCTGCTGTATACACCAAACAACATAGAAATGGGATCCCAGGTTCCCTTGGGAAGGAAATAACTATTTAAGGATATTTGTATGGGTACGTTTCTTGTTGCTATGACAAGATGCCTGAGAGAATAACTTAAAGGAAGATTCATTTTGAATGACAGATTTAGCAGTTTTAGGCCTTGATCACTTAGCTACATACATTTGGGCATGAAATCATGGTGCCTGAGCATGTGGTAGAGGAGGCTTTTACCTCATGAAGATAGGAACCAGACACAAGAAGGACAAGACTCTCCCAAGGGCTCACACCCAACCCAGTGAGTGACCTTTGACCTCTACCTAAAACCCACCTCCTAAGGGTCTAGGACCTTCCACAATAGCACCACCAGCTAGGGACAAAGCCCCCAGAACATTCTGGGGAGGAGATAACATTTTATATCTAACCACATAACAATATTATTTCAATTTCACATCTTATCATTACATTCCTTACCTTCTATGTTCTTTTCAAAAATATGAGCGACACAGTTTCTCCTCTCTTTGAATCTGGGCAGACCTTCACAACTGCCATGACCAATAGAATGTTGTGGTGATGGCTTGTTAGGTCACAACACTAAAGTTCTTGCTGCTTTCTCCTTTCTCTCTTAGATCACTGTCCTAGAGGGAAACCAGGTGTCCCTGGGAGTCATGGGATACTTGGGCACAGAGAGGGTCCCATGTGGAGAAGTGAAGTTCTCAACTTGGATCCACTTCTCCAACCATGTGGTCCTCTAGCCCCAAAGAGGCTCAGACAAGCACAGCCCAGATGATGGGTGATTGAGCCCATGAGGATCTCAGATGTGCATTGGCCAAATGAGCAGTGAACCAGCTCCTCAGTCACAGAAACATGTCCTAATTTGCTTCCTGCTGCTGTGATAAAAACACTGACCCAAACCAACTTAAGGAGGAAATGGTTTGTTTAGCTTACACTTCCAGGTCATAGGCCATCCTTAAGGGAAACCAGAGCAGGAGCTCAAGGCAAGAATATAGAGGCAGGAACTGAGGAAGAGATCACAGAGAAATGCTGCTTGCTGGCTTGCTCCCCCCGCCCCGCTTGCTTAGCTGCCTTTCATATACAACCCAGACCCACCTGCCTAAGGTGGTACTACCCATAGTGGGATGAGCCCTCCTGTATCAATTAACAATCAAGAAAATGCCCATTGACCAATCTGATGAAGGCAATTCTTCAATTGAGGTTCTATTGTCCCAGATTGTGTCAAGCTGACAAAAACATAACTGGCACACAGTGTGAAATAGCAATTCCAGTTTCCCTCAGCTTAAACCCTGAGACAAGCAAATTGGTCAAATAACAGCAAATTGCCAATACATCAGCCTACTTGTCACTAATTTCTTGAAACTAATTTGATTTATATTACTGGCTCCAGTTATCATCTCACAATTATTATATTCTAACCTTACTACAAAAGGTAAATAAGAAATTGATTTTTGCAGGCAAACTTTTCTGTCTAGACTGTTGATCAGCTCTGTCCCACCAGTCACTCCCCAAATAACCACATAGACACTTGCTATTAATTACAAAGGCTTAGCCAATAGCTTGGTCTCATTTTTAGCTAGATCTTATAACTTAAATTAGCCAATTTCTATTCATCTATGTGCTTCCTGGGGCTCATTTATCTCATGTATGTACTTCTCTCATCCTGCTCACTCTGCATCTCATGGCATCTCCTCACGACTTCGACTTCTGAGACTCTGCCCTCTGTCTTCCCAGAATGCTCTCTCCCTGAAAATCCTGCCTAGCCAATGGCCAATCAGCTTTTTATTAACAAAGAGAGCAACGCATCTTCACAGGGTACAGAAGGATTATTCCACAGAAGATTTTAGTTCATCACAGTGAAATATATGAATGCTTATCACAACTTTATCAGAATTAATGGCATTCTGGTGAGGTAACATGTAAAGTGCCATGGAGTTACCAGTTACAAACGCAGACTTACTCCTGTGGGATGTGGTGTAGACCAAACTCAACTCAAGAAATGCTACTATTCATGATAGAACATTTTGGGAAGCTCCAACAATGTGTGTATAAGTAACTAAATGACTGACATAAAAAAGGGAGGTTTTATTTTTGGTTCATGTTCAGAGGGTTCGGTTTGGCCCTATACGTGCCTGAACATAACATCTTGGTGATAGGGAATTACATCTTGCTGACAAGAATGTGTGACAGAAGAGAACTGTTTACCTTGTGGTGGACAGGAAGCAGAGGGAGGAATACAAGAATCAATGTTCTAGTACAACAGCGTCCATGGATATTCAAGTACCACAGCCCAGCCGTCGTCTCCCTCCAAGTTTCGGTGTTCTGTTGCTGGTAACAATCTACCCTCATAGTAGCTTTTCCTTAAATGTCAGGAGCACTGGACTGTAGACGTTGGGTCCCCAGTACTCAATATGACACAGAATACCTAAACAAATGGAACTCAAGTAGACAACGGATTAGGATTCTGGGATTGAGGTCAGAGTCAACATACTTCTCTCTCCTAGAGAGGCCCCACTAATTGAAGACTTAGCCTCAATGCCACCTTCCCAACGAAACCTTGTTTGTCACTCTTTAGACTTCATCAGGCCCCTCTGTCGTTGTCCTTTCGGCTCTTGTGCTCCTGACAGTGTGTGTCTAAACAGTAATTAGTCATGTGGACTCAACCACTCAGGTGGTGCGCTGCTCATTTGGAACATAAAGATGAATATCTATTTCTTTATCATGTTTTGAGTGATCTAAATGACAAGAAGTTGTCTTCACAACCACTCCAATGGCATCATTATTCCCATTCTATAGAGAAGGAAACTAAGATATAGATAGTTCAAGTAGAAAATGGTTTGTCCAACAGATGGTTTGGTCATTGCAGTAGACTCAGAGGCCTTGCCCATGAGCATTGAGCATCCCATGCCCTCACTGAAGACTACACCATGTCTCTCTTGTTCACCAATCTGTCTTGACACTCAGACACCCAGACATGAAAAGACTATGTCACCAATCCTCTGTAGATATGGATAAGCCTACTTGCTGAAATTTATTCATAACTCTAAAATTAATTTTCTTGGTACTTTCTTAGCTATTCACAGACTTCTAAACAATAGCAAAAAAAAAAAAAAAAAAAAAAGTTGAAGTAGTACATCCATGCTTGCGGGTGAATCTGGAAAAGAAACTGCATTCTAGTTTCAACTTTCCTATTTTTGCATTTGTTTGTGTGAGTTCTTTTGTTTGTTGGTTTTTGTTTTTGATTTGGTTTTTTGAGACAGAGTCTCACTGTGTAGTTCTGGCTGGCCTGGAGCACATTATGTGTGTAGACCATGCTGGTTCAAACTCACAGAGATCCACCTGTCTCTGGTGGGATTCAAGGCCTAAGAGATTTCCAGAATTTAAGTAACATTGGTAACAAGAACCAACGGTATGTCATGAATTGACAAAGCAGATGGAAGACAGAACCGGGGACAGATGAAGTTGCCTCACAAGTTTGATTTCCCTTCTCTCCTCTCCCTGCTCAGGAGTCAGAGTCACCAAGGTGGACTGGCAGCAGTCCAAAAATGCTGCTGCTCACCACACCCAAGATTACCCTGGCCCTGAGCTGGTGATTCGAAGGGGCCAGTTATTCAGTCTCACCCTGGATCTGAGTGGAGTCCTGGACAGCGAGGAGGCCCTCATCTTCACTGTGGAGACAGGTAACTGGCCTTGCCAGAGTCCCCAGTGGTCCACAGACTACTTATTTTATGACCAGTAATTTGAGATTCTTCAGTTAGCAGCCAGACTTTGGAGGGAAGCGAGTCCCTGGGAAGTGGGTTGAATTTTCAATCCAGTTTCCAAGGGAAAGGTGGAAAACACCACCAGCACACAGCAGCCAGCTGGGTGAGGTCCCTTTCTGGAGCCTTTGGTATATAAAGGAATCCAGGGCTCTTGATGGGCATAGAAAATACTCATGCAGTTTTAGAACCCAAATTACTCTTTCTTTTTCCAGCCAGATAAGAGGCTAGCTGTCACTTTCTCCTTTGCCCAATGGATGGTTGAGAGCCAGGGCAGCTGAAAGGTGTTCACTCTGGCCCTAGGCTCCCTGAGCTTTCCCAGTCCTTCCCTTCTCAGCCTTCTGGCATCTGGGGTATAGCATCTGGGCTTCTGCTTCTCCAAAGCAACATTTTTAGGAGGCAGACTCTCTTGGTCCCCTTCTCCTCCCTTCCAGGGCCCCATGCATCTGAGGCTCTCCACACCAAAGCCATCTTCCAGACAGCAGAGCTAGAAATAGGTGACACCTGGACAGCTGCAATAGAGGAACAGACAGAGAATACCATCACCGTCAGCCTTGCGAGCCCTTCCAATGCAGTCATTGGCCGATACCTGCTGAGTGCCAGGGCCTCTTCCCGCCGGAAACACAGTGATCGCAAGCTGGGCCAGTTTATTCTCCTGTTCAATCCCTGGTGCCCAGGTAGGAACTCCCATAACTGAGACCGAGGGTCCCCTGGAAGCTGTCCTCAGAGGCAGGTCTCTCTGAAGGGGGTCCGGGGAAGCCTTAGAAGCAAGATAAGGGATAGGAAGACAAAATCCAAGAGCCCAGACCAGGTAGAGGCCCCACAATATCAGAGATGACCATAGAACCTGTGAGAAAGGAGCAGGAAGATAGAGGCTTCTGACGTGAGTGGCCCGAGTAGAAAAGTAGAAGAGGCTCAAGAATGGGTCAGAGAGCAAGCATGTGGAGGAGGGTCAGACTGTTCTAAGCCGCATCCCCCAGTGAGGCCATTTCCACACCTGTGAGGGGGGAATGATAGCAGTGCCTAACTCTTGTAGATGTAATAGGAATTCATCTGGCTAGTGCGGCAACATGCAGTCACATGACAAGCCCTCCATGGGGTGTAGCTACTATCAGGACCTTATTAATGTTTAGAAAATATAAGGCTGCTATTGACATCAAGGAGGGACATCTAGCATATCGGGGTTCAAAGGGTTACACCCTGCTTGGGGGAAAAGCCACCCAGACAAGATGCCTTAGCAGAGAGGGACATGGAGTCAGTAAGTCACTTTCCCGGTCCTGACCATGTCAGCCTCCAGGCTCTGTCATATTGCTAAGCCCTTCCCAGGCCAGTAGGACAAAGCCCCAGCCCACATGGGACCTGCTGATTGCTTTTCAGAGGACGACGTGTTTCTGGACTCAGAGGAGGAGAGGCAGGAGTACGTGCTTAACGACAGTGGCATCATTTTCAGAGGCGTGGAGAAGCACATCCGAGCCCAGGGCTGGAACTACGGGCAGGTCTTCAGGGGCACAACCAGAGGGGGTGGACCAGGGCTGGAGTGGTAAAGGCAGCCAGGGAGAGCTGTCTACCCAGCTCTTCCCAGGAGGGACAAGCTAGGCTGACTCTTAAGGCAGGCAAATCCATTCATTCATTCACTCAAATACTACCCCCTGTGACAAGGCCTGTCCTGGACCCTTGGGAAAGGGGAGCTACTTTGGATACAGTCTAGAATTAGAAGTCAGTTCTGTGTGGAAATATAAGTAGCTTCAATCAATGATCATCAAGCAAGAGCATACATCAGAGTCATAGGAGATCTCCTAAAATCACAGGTGGCCAGGTTCCTCCCTCAGTCTGACTTAAGCAGCTGTAGGGCCAGGCCTAGGAATATGCATTTTAAACAAGTTCCCAAGTCTTGCTGACACTGTTGGTCTGGGACTCTGCTTTGAGAGCCTGTCCACGTCTGTAGATGACTGGTTCCAGTACCCATTGCAGACACCAAGACCTACAGACATTCAAGTCCCTTCTCTAAGAGACAGATTCGTGTGGGACCTGCTCGTGTTCATTTCTCTCTAAGTCACTCCTAATGCCAACACAGTGGAAATGCTAAACAGCTATGCTGGATTGTTCAAGGAATGACAAGGAAAAAGCCATACATAAATCCAAGTCAGACACAATGACACAGAACCTACACACACAGGGCTGATTGGAGCTGCAAGACCAGTCACAATAGGTGAAGAAAAATGGGGGTGTATGGAGTAGAGCAAAGGCGGCTCATATGGGATGTTAGATAGTAGATTTGGGTCCTCAGAGTTGGGCAAGACTAGATGGGCAGGACAGGGAGCATCTCAAGCAACCAGGAGTAGAAATCAAAGAAGTGTAGAGTCTACTAAAGGACTCTGCCTGTGTAGGCTCCAGGTGCCACATGGGACTTGACTGCTAAGGACAGGCTTGAGGGTCAAAATCACTAAGGGCTCAAGGACTGGTCGGTGATGATACACTGGAAGTTTAGGGTCCATCTAAAGAGTTACCACCCTTAGCCACAACCTCTTCCTACCACGGGAGCCCAGCATTGCTAAATGTTATCAGCTGACCCAAAAGCACATGAGACATGCAGAGCAACGCAGTGTGTCAGTAAGGTGGGTAGGTGGCTCAAGGACCATAACGGAGAATCATGCAAAGGTTAAACTTCTGGTTCCAAGATGACCCTTTGAAGAAGGATTTTTAATATCCCCAGGGGCCGTTGGTGCAAACTGATACAAACACAAAAGATCAGGTGGGGCTGTGGGAGGGCCTAGAATGTGGAAAGACTTTGGCCTCTGAGTACAGCTTCTCTGGGAGCAGTTTGAAGAGGACATCCTGAACATCTGCCTCTCCATCCTGGACCGAAGCCCTCGTCACCAGGATGACCCAGCCACCGATGTGTCCCACCGCCACGATCCAGTCTATGTCACTAGGATCATCAGTGCTATGGTAAGGAGGCCACTGCCATCCTCACATAGCCTTCCTTCAAGGATACCCCAAACTAGTCCCAGCACTGAACCCTAAGAATCTCACAAAGTTACCTCTTGCTTTCCGTATTGCTGCACACCCAAAGTCTATGTGATCAAACCCTGTGTTACATTCAATTCTATAGGTCAAGAATTTGGCAGAACACTGCTGGGGGCTCCTAAGTGGCTATGGATGCCCCAGGTGGGTAGAATCGTGTATCTCAAGCCTTTAGTTCTGGTAGTTTGGTAGATCCTTGTTTCCTGCCCATGCCAGGCCTGCTGGACTTTCTAACTCAGGCCTCCAGGCTGGTGGGGACTAGAAACTGGGACTGGCCAGAGATCTCACTTCTGTGGTCAAAGCCATCCCAGGACATTTCAGGCAAAGGGATAGGACCCAGGTCTGACTTCTCTAGGGAGGTGATAACACAATGAAAGTTAGGGTGCTAGTTTAGCTGATCACAAACTGGAGACCACATGCTGCAAAGGGCCCGAAGAGAGTCTACCACTTTTGTTTCTTTAATTAAAATACAAATATAACATTATACCATTTTCTTTCTGCCCTCCAATCCCTCCAATGTACCACTCCTCTTGCTCTCTCTCAAAGGCATGGCCTCTTTTTTCTACCATTGCTATTCTCTCTCTCTCTCTGTCTCTCTCTCTCTCTCTTTCTCTGTGTGTGTGTGTGTGTGTGTGTATGTGTATAGTGCTAAAATACATAACTTTTAAATATATAAATACAACCTGCTTAGTCTGCTTAGTGTTACTTGTGTATATATGATTTTAGAACTGACCACTTAGTACTGTCTAACAGATTAGGGAGCTCATCCCCAGGGAAGACCATTTCTCCCAGCCTCATCATTCCCTGGTTCTTTGTCTGTCGTTCTTTGTCTGTGTGTAGGACCTTTCACATTAGCATGTCTATGGGTGTTGTCCTAGTTCAGGTCCTCTTTAGGTCACCATACTGTGTTGAGGAATCATGGCTGTGGCTTCCCTGACATTTCTAGGAGACACAATCTCACAACATCTTTCCTGGTCCCCTGGGAGAGTCTATTATTAATAGTAGCCTCAGCCCCATGTGGGTGTCAAGGTCATGAGATTCTAAAAGTAAATCTGTATTTCTCAGATGTCCTCATTTCCCCCAAGACCTCAGAGCAATGGTGGAGGTCAGAGAGTCAACACCAGTGAAGGACCCAGACCTGGGCCACGGCAGCCCAGTGACAGCCACTGCAGGCTGCAAGTCCAAGTCCTGAACTCATGGATTACCCTTTCACTAATCGAGTTTGGCAGGTCCCCTAATCCCTCAGAACTTCACTTTTCTTCTGGTAGGGGTGGGGGGAGGACAGGGGGAATATACACTGCAGACTTAAAACAAGTTAACCCTCTAGTCCTAAAATCCTTGGGACAGTTCCTGACACATTGTAATGTTTAACAGGCACCAGACTGCCGCTATGATACAGTACCACTGACAGCCCCAAATTGAACTAACATACAGCTGTTTAAATCATAGATGATTTTTGACAACAGACTATCCAAATTGAAGATAATTGAAAAATTATAAGTAGTGTAAAATTGGGCCTTTTTTTAAGTTTTGCATTTGAGGAAGTGTTTGAGATCAAATCCCAGGTCTCTTGCATGTTAAACATATACTCTACATTTTACACACACACACACACACACACACACACACACACACACACACACACACACACACACACGGCATTTTAAGAAAGCTGAGTGCCGTAATTTTCAGGCAACTTAAATGCAAAGTGTGACCCCACTGACTTGGGATTCCAAAGTTTGGAAAATGATTTTACAATGAAAGTGCGATGCCTGCTCAATGACTGACTCACACCTTCTCTGCTCAGGTGAACAGCAACAATGACCGGGGTGTGGTACAAGGTCAGTGGCAGGGCAAATACGGGGCGGTGGCACCAGCCCACTGAACTGGCGTGGCAGCGTGGCCATCCTGCAGAAGTGGTTCAAGAGCAGATACAAACCAGTCAAATATGGCCAGTGCTGGGTCTTTGCTGGAGTCATGTGCACAGGTATGAAGAAGAAAGCTTCTCATCAGCACGTTCACCCCTGGCTTTGCATGTGTTTACAGAGATTTGCGTATGCCTCTATCAGTTTTCATTAATGAAGAGGAAATGGAAATCTGGTTAAAGAGAGAAAACAAACAGTTCATTTCCTTGGCATTTGGCCTTTTATTTGGCACAAATCCTCCCTCTGCATCTATCTCGTTGGATGTCATGGGTCAGCCCTGTGGTCCTCGGATCCCCTCAGAAAGTACAGGGCATTGCTGTGTGGATCCAGATCCTGCCTACCCAGAGGGTGACATAGCATCTCCAGAAAAGTCCCCTGAGAGACTCCAGAGGACTTGGTGGTTCTGACAGAGGACACAGTGGAGGAACCGAGGCAGGAGAGGCGGAGCAGCCTGTGGTGAGCAGGGCACCTCCCTCTGACCCTCTGCTCCACAGTCCTCAGGTGCCTGGGGATTGCAACCAGGGTGGTGTCCAACTTCAACTCAGCCCATGACACCGATGGCAATCTGAGTGTGGACAAATATGTGGACTCTTATGGACGAACCCTGGAGGACCTGACAGAAGACAGCATGTGGTAGGTTTCGGGCCTCTGAGAATCAGGGTCAGATGCTGCCCAGTCCAGTCCTACATACTGGATCCTTCTCTCCTCTCCTTCTACAAACTTTTCTTCCTTGATGTTGTCACCTTCCTCTAGCCCCCAGATGTTTATCAATGTATTTTTCAATGAGGGTAATCTCCCCAGAGGAGTTTACTGCCCCTTAACACCAGCCCAGTAAAGCAGGAATCCGGTCTCCCTCTGCTGCTTGTCTCCAGTGCCGCCTTGTGCAAGTAACACCCCGTTCCTAACCTCATATTCGCACTGTGAACACAGGAAGTTGAAAATAGTCAAGACCTCCTCACCAGGGCCTACACAATGTCTGCACAGCCTACACCCTACCTATCCTACTTACACTTTTCCTGGTTCTTGAGCACAATTTCCTGTCTTTGTATATACTATTCCTTCCACCCAGAATACTGTCCCCTTCAGTCTTTCTCTAGCTAGTTCATTTGAATATAGGCCTCATCTTAGATGTCATTTACCTAGAGTAGGTTTCCACCATCCAGTCTCTGGTACAAGCCCCTCAATTTCTGCACAGTATTTATTATAGTGTTTGAGGCTCCCAGTCTTCCTTTCTGTCACCTTCATTAAAATAAACACACACACACATATGTACACAAGGATATACACACATATGCACATACACACATTTGTAAACAGAGACACACATGCACATAAATACATACAGGCACACATATACATACATATATACATGTAAGCACACAGAAACAAAACATACACCAAAATACAAGTAGGAAGATGTATAAATACAAAAAAAAGCATGCAAGCACACAGATATACAAATATACACCAACATATAAGCACACATAAATACAAGGTCAAAAATACCCACAAACATGCAAGCATGCAGACAGGAGAACATACAAGCACACACAAACATAAAAGCCCTCCTACACACAAAGGCATAAACAGACAAATATGCAAGCATGCAGACACACAAATATAGAAGCACACACACATGCAAACATGAAAAATGCACACATATAAACATGCTTATGCACACATGCACACACATACTTACCTATACACACATGCTATACACACATGTACACATAAACATACACTCACACACACACACACACACACAGAAACACACGTGTACCAATTGCTACTACGATGTCCTGATTTTTTGATGGCATGCAGCACATGCTTGTCGTCATTCTAGCACTCAAGGGGCTCGGGAAGGAAGGTCTGGAGTCTGAGATCAGCCTGGACTCTGTAAGGAATTATAGACCAGCCTGGTCTGCATTAGCCAGACAACATGAGCTGCGTGAGAGCAAGATCTTTGATCTTACCTACAGTTGTATTTCTGGTATCCTGAAAGCAGGTTGTTGGTGTGTGCACATACACCAACATGCATACACATGCATACACAATCATGCATACACAATGTGAGCATGTGTCCACTAGAGTAGATCAATGAGTGGTTCATGAGATGTAGCCCCAGCAATGGCTGGTCTGCAGGAGCGCCATCCCTTCTCTGGGCCTCTGTATGGACACAGCTGCCTTGCCTGTGTGTCTCTGGCAGGAATTTCCATGTCTGGAATGAAAGCTGGTTTGCACGACAGGACCTGGGCCCATCCTATAATGGCTGGCAGGTTTTGGATGCCACACCCCAAGAAGAGAGTGAAGGTAGGGATCGTTGGGTGGACCCAGACCCCCTTGGCAGCACACTGTTCATGCTACTTCTCCTGCCCAGGCATGTTCCAGTGCGGCCCTGCCTCAGTCACCGCCATCCGTGAAGGTGATGTACATCTAGCCCACGATGGTCCCTTCGTCTGTGCCGAGGTCAATGCAGACTACATCACCTGGCTGTGGCATGAGGACCAGCGGCGGGAGCGCGTGTACTCAGACACAAAGAAGATTGGCAGGTGTATCAGTACCAAGGCAGTGGGCAGTGACTCTCGTGTGGACATCACGGGCCTTTACAAGTATCCAGAAGGTAAGGGCTATGGAGTAGTCTTTATCAGCCTACCCACAATAGTCTGTGGGTTGCACAAGGCCCATGGAAAATCTGGAGCCAGATCCTCTCCAAATGTGAGGATGGCAACAGTCGCTCCAGGCAGTTTGAGCATTGTCTATGCTGCCGGCATCTGCCTTCTCTGCTTGCTGCACACCTCTTCTGGGCTAGCTTTCCCATACACAGTAACAATAGTGTTGTTTCCTCAAGTGTTTGCCATATGCCAAGGACTGTATAGGTATGCAAATGGCATAATAATTGTACAGAGAGTGATCATGGGAACAGTAGCAGGTGGTAGCAATAGCACAAGTAGGGAACATGGACTAGGCACAGTGCAAAACAACAGGAGCTGCCACTGGAATCTGTCACTTCCCAGGCTTCTGCCACAGCCCTATTCCCTCCCTGGTTTATGGAAGAACCTGCATTTGTTGGGGTACAAAAACAAGAGTCTCTTTTTCCCACAGGGAAGTGGGTCTCTGGATGGGGTAGTAATCTGACCCATAAGGCCAGTCATTTATGCCTGTTAAGACATGCTACCAAGTGGGTAAGATCTGCTTCAAACTGGAATCAGAGTTTGTCCCTGCTGCTTCTTGAGCACAAACCAGAGCAGGGATGTTCTCAGTTACAGGAAAGGGGGCGGGTCTGTGCTGGATGTGTCTGCCAGGCTGCTGTGTCCCCCATAGCGTGCCCTTCAGGTATTGCCCAGATAATCTGAGGTTCCAGAAGACTGATGAGACTGCCACGGGGCCACCTCCCTTTTGTGGTAGGGTGCTCCATGTTTACACCCCAAACCTGGTCTCTCAAGCATCCACACCTCACAGGCACCAGCATTGCTTTGGTTCCCATCTCTGCTAGGGATCACCACCCTTTTGTCCTCTTCTTGTTGTATCAGAGTAGGCTGGTGGGCAGAGAGAGTTGATCTGCCATCTGCAGAGACTTTCTGGAATTCAGAATGTGGAGTCTTGGCTTTTTTTTTTTTTTTTTTTTTTTTTTTTTTTTTTTTTTTTTTTTTTTTTTTTTTTTTTTTTTTTTTGGCCTGAGAATAAGTCAGCATCCCATTACATGACAGCAATAATGAGTTTCTTTTCACCCAGTTGTCAGAGATGCTGAAAACCTGCATTTTTATGTGAAATTTCCTGACCTGATGTGTTAGCAACTATCGTAAAGTATATTTAAGGAGCAAAGAGAACATGGGCATTTGGCAAAGGGCTTCCTATGATTCTCGGGCTTCCAGTTTGAGCCCTCCAAGAGCCATAAGAATGTAAGGCAGTGACAAATGGTGGGTTTGCCCAGGGCAACAGAATCTGGACCTGGGTTGATGGAGAGTGTGCTGCCTGTACTGATGCAAAGATGCCCTGCAGGGTCCCGGAAGGAGAGGCAGGTGTACAGCAAAGCTGTGAAGAAACTGCTCAGCATAGAAGCCTGGGGGAGGAGGAGGCGGATTCGCAGGGCCGGGGGCGTGCGTGGTGTCTGGCGTGATGACCTCCTGGAACCGGCCACCAAACCCAGCATCACTGGCAAGTTCAAAGTGCTGGAGCCACCGGTGCTCGGGCAGGACCTGAAGCTAGCACTGTGCTTGACCAGCCTCACTGCCAGGGCCCAGCGGGTCCGAGTCAATCTGAGTGGTGCCACCATCCTCTATACCCGAAAGCCAGTGGCAGAGATCCTGCGTGAATCCCACACAGTCAAGCTAGGGCCACAAGAAGGTAAGATCAGGGTGACCTAGTGGGATCTGGTCAATACACCTCCTTTTCCAGGTTGACTGGGGGATGAACAGCAGTGAGGGAGATTCCCAGATTGATGTCCATCCCCAGGAAGGATAGCCCTAAGCTTTGATGTCAGTGTCTGCCACTTGTCCCCACTTTACAGATAAGAAAATTGAAGGTTAGAGGAGGAAATCATGACCGTGTGGTTTACTTTACTATAATGGCAGTACAAGTCCACAGTCACCTGGTGGCAAACTGGCCTTGAGGGTGAGGTGACTTATCACCTAGTCATCACAACCAACGTGATTATTTACAGACCAAACATGCACATCTGGGAGCACATCACCATACACAGGACATGCTATGGATCACTCTCCTAAAATCCACAGACACCCTAGACACCAGCAATGGCTCCATCCTTCAGAAAAGTAGACTTACACCCAGAGTTCAAATTCATGGTACATGTGGTGGCAGGACCCAAACCCAGGCAGCCGGGCTTAGAGGAACTCCTGACCCAGGGTAGAGAGGGGCTAGGGTTCCATACCCAGAACACTGCCAGTGCCCAGTACCACTGCACTCAGTCATTTGTCTCCAGGCTGCAAAGTGGATGGTTCATCCGTGCCAGTGATGATCACTTGAAGAGGCATTGGCCTAAAATCCATTCTTGGCATTTCACTGTAAGATGGCATGGCCCTGGGCCTTTAGAAAATGTTTGAATAATTTTAACTGGCCTTGTTGCTTTTTTTTTAATCAGTCAGGTATGTTTCTCATGAGCTTTGAACATATCACACGTTATATGTGGTTTCCCAGATAGATCCCTTTTGTTTACTCTTCCTTCCTTCCTTTTCCTAATTTGTCTTTCTCCTTACTCTTCACACACATCGCCCCTCTTTCTGTCTCCCTAGCTATGTGTCACTATTCTCTCCATCTCTGTATGTATGTCACCCATTTCTGTCTCTGTCTTACGTATCTTTCCCAATTCTCTAAATACATGTGTGTCTGTGTGTGTGTCTGTGTCTGTGTTTATGTGTCTGTGTGTGTCATCTGTCTGTCCCTGTCACCTCCCTCACATACTGTCTGAATTCCAAGGATACAGCTGAACAAAGTTTAATTAATGTCACCCCTTTGGGCCAGTTCCTTGCAATTACACCTTGTGGGCTTAGACAGGGATAGAAAACCGCATGAAGGAGGTACCACACATTTTTTAGTTCTTTTTGTCATTTCTTGTCACAAAACCTAAATCACAAAATAACACTTTGTAATAGAATAAATTAACATCTCCTGGCTTTTAGCATTTTTTTTCATGTTCAAAATAATACATATTCATTAAAGAACTCAAAAGCAAAAGAGAAAAAATCACCTCTTATCTTGCCTCCTACCTCCAGACTGTTGACAGGTTTTCTTTCTAAATGTGTACTGCCTGTTTGCCTTTTGAAAAGCATAGTTCTAATTAAATATTGCCACGCTGTGCACTCTTTATGGTATATTAAAGCTCATTTTATAAGCTCTTCATGGGTATCCTTTTGCTTGGTTTAAATGTTTAAATAAATTCAAGGTAATTGTTTTTCAAAGACCAGTTTTAGGCTTGGTTGATTTTCAATACTGATTTATTTATTTATTTATTTTCGCTTTAACTTTCATTGATTTCTACTCTAATTGGCGTTATTCCGTTTATCTTTCTTTTGTATGGCGCTCTTCTGTATGAGTCCTTTCTTCTTTTCTTTGTATGGTTGGTTGGTTGCTGTTATACTGTCAATTGAGTGCGGCTTTATGCTTTGAAGGCTCCTCGACACTGAGTACCACCCCTACCCCTCCATATTTCCAGGGTCTCACCAGTTTGCCCAGGCTAGCCCTGACTTTCCCTGTAGGCCCAGCAGGTTTTGAATTTGTGATCCTCCCAAGCAGCTACAATTACAGACCCATGCCACCAGGCCCAGCTCTTATTAGTCCTCTTCTTCTGGCATATGTTGGCTTTAATTTTTCCAGTTTGCTGTGGACACCTGGGTTAGCAATTTTAAATCTGCCATATATGTAATAATAAAATTTTCTTCTAATACTAATTTTGACATTCCTTACAAAGTATTTCCATTTTCATTTTGTTCAAAAGATTTAAAAATTTATCTTGACATTTCTCCTTTGACTCATGTTCTTTTAGAAGCTTATTGAGCTAGGCATGGCATGGTGAACAAACATCTAATCCCAGTGGTCAGGAGACTTAAGCAGGTAGAGCAAGGGTTCAAGGCCAGCCTGGGATAAGTAGCAAGGTTTACCTTTCTGATTTAAAGTAGCACACCCTTTAATCTCCAAGCAGTTTGGATCTTCCAGCTCTCTTCCTTATTGTTTTCTGCTAGAGTCCCTGTCATCTCGGGGCATACACTGCCTTATTTCTATTTTTACAGTTATTAATTGTTATTTACGGCACAGGATGTGAGCTCTCTTGGTGAAGGTTTCATGTGAGCTTGAAAAGAAAGTGTATCTCAAGCTATGTTGAATGGACATGCAATCGTTGTTCCTTATTTCCGGCTGACTGAGGCGCCGTGGAGAATCTCTCCCTGGGGAAAATCCCAGCGTTTCTTAACTGAGAATGGAGTCCATGGTTAGGGGTCTGCACTCTATGAGGGGCCACCTTCCTCAGCCGTCTGAACTGGTGCCAAAGCTCTGCCCAAGCATATTGCTGGTAGCACACATTGGTTCTCCAAGACGGAACTCAGGAATTTGCATTCCAGTGAGTTCCAGTTGATTCTGATGACACTGGCCCCAGGACCACTCTTTGAGAACCATGGCTTATGATCATGAAGGAAGTAAATGATAAATATAAAGTATTTGGCATAATGCCTAACATCTAATGAATATATATTATCCATACCTTCATTATTTTTTTATATTACTGTAAGTTGGGGATAATAGTTATAATATCTGTCCATAAAAGTGCTTCCAGCTGGGCGTTGATGGTGCATACCTTTAATCCCAGCACTTGGAAGGCAGAGGCAGGTGGATCTCTGTGAGTTCGAGGCCAGCCTGGTCTCCAGAGCGAGTGCCAGGATAGGCTCCAAAGCTACACAGAGAAACCCTGTCTCGAAAAACCAAAAAAAATAAATAAATAAATAAAAGTTTGTTCCCAAAATTATTATTGTTAATTATTATTGTAACAAGGATTATTCTACTAATAACGCAGGGAAGTAAGGGAGCCCAGTGAACAAGAGAGAATCTGTTTTGTGTGGTTCAGGGAATGATCTACTGTAACATGGTTTCTGTTTTAATGAGTGAATTTACTAAATAATCAAAAGAAAGAGTTATTCAAATTGGGCACTCAAAAAATCCCAGCAAAGGAGCTGGAGAGATAGCTCAGCAGTTAAGAGCATTGACTGTTCTTCCAGAGGACCCAGGTTTGATTTCCAGCACCCACATGGTGGCTCATAATAATCTGTAGCTCCAGTCCCAGGGTATCCGATGTCATCTGTCCTCCACCAGCACCAGGCATGCAAGTGGTGCACAGATATCCATTCAGGCCAAACACCCATACACATTAAATAAAACTTTAAAATAAAAAACATTTTAAATATCCATTAGAAATGAATGGGAAAGCCCCTTTAAGGCAGCCAGCTCGAAGTCCCAGTCAAGAGAGTCAGGAAAGAGTAATTTCCCCTCTGGTGAGGTGTCCAACAAATAGCAACAACTAGAGATACCATCACTAATTCTGGTGCTCACAGCATCCAACAGAAACTAACAGGGAGGTTGAGGCTGGCAGCTGGAGTTCCCAATTGAGCTTTCTCTCCATGGCCGGGTGAAACATGACTGAACTTGTGGCATCTCTTTCCACTTCAGGCTCCTTTAGATTGTATGATAAACAATTGGTAGTGACTGTTGGAAATGGTTTGCCTTCCAGCTCTTCTCAAGGACATGATGTTTTCTTTTTTTAAATGTTTATTCATTTACTATGTATACAGTCTTCTGCCTCCATGTATGCCTGCGGGCCAGAAGAGGGCACCAGATCTTATTACAGATATCTGTGAGCCACCATGTAGTTGCTGGGAATTGAACTCAGGTCCTCTGGCAGAGCAGCCAGTGCTCTTAAAACTGAGCCATCTCTCCAACCCCACAGCAGTTTACTCTCGGGATATTTTGCTGTTCTCTCTCCTCCCTGTCACAGATTGGGGTAGGGAAGCCCATTCCCAGACCTAGGAGGACACTTTGAGACAAACATGTTTGTGTCTGAAATGGGGAAGGGAACAACCACACTTCTAGAGCCAGCTTCTCATTGAGCTAAACAAAGCATGACAATTTGCCAATATAATAGGCCTTACAGTATCTTAACACATAGGTCAGTCTCCTGGTATGCAGGAGCAGCACGCTATATGTGCAAAGCTCTGAGCTAATCTTCGGGATCTTCCCTAAGTAAAAACTCAAATGCTTTTGGGGTGAGAAATAAAGGGAAAATAAAGTGGCAGAACAGTAGAATATTATAGAGCCTGGGGCAAGCAAAAGAGGACTCATTGCACATGTGTGCATATACACACACATAAGATGTATAGAGGTCAAAGAATCTAAATAGAGCCTAGAGTTAGCCATGGGTTCCATGGCTACACATGAAGAGAATGCCTAGGCAAGGTGTGTGTGGCTGGGTGCCTAGGCAAGGTGTGTGTGAGACAGACAGACAGACAGACAGACAGACAGACAGACAGACAGACATCTGGACCATGGGAATTCATGTATGAGAGTATTGGTAAGGAATAGCAGTGAAGCCTACCCACAGCCGGTGGAGCTGACTAAAGCCAACCCTTCATGGCCAAGCAATATTTGGAGACATTACAAGGAAGTTGCCCCTATCAGCTTGGAAGTTGAAGGCCATTGTTTGATCTCTCTCTTCTTTGGTTCTGATATATAATAAGCACTCAATAAACAGTAAATAAATTCCAGGTGGGATGGACAGATAGTGCATCAAACATTTCCATCTTGAATAACTTTTGAAGAGTTGTGTAGATGTCTGGGCACTCTTGGGGAGTCAGCCTGGTATCCTGGCCCTCACTGACCTAGATCTGAACCCAGCTGAATGTGGATCCTTCAGTGTACTTGCTGTCTGACTTTCAGAGAAGAAGATCCCAGTCACAATATCTTACTCTCAGTACAAAGAAGACCTGACAGAGGACAAGAAGATCCTGCTGGCTGCCATGTGCCTTGTCAGTAAAGGAGAGAAGCTACTGGTGGAGAAGGACATTACTCTGGAGGACTTCATCACCATCAAGGTGACTCCTGTCCACACCTACCACACTCTTTCTGACTGGGGTGGTGGAGGATATCCAAAACTGGGGTCTGAGACTTGGGTACCAGCTTCACCTCTCAAAGGTGGGGAAGACTGTGGCATTCTAACAGGGTGTGTGGAAGCAGAGATAGGTATGACAAATGCCACATTCTCTGGTCCAGCCAGAACCCTCGGCTTCAGGAAGCAGGGATATGAGGGATCTTGGGTGACTCGTGGGTGCTTCCTCTCTAGGTGCTTGGCCCAGCAGTGGTAGGAGTGGCAGTTGCTGTGGAAGTGTTGGTGATCAACCCCCTCTCGGAGAGCGTAAAGGACTGTATGCTGATGGTGGAAGGCAGTGGACTTCTCCAAGGACAGCTCAGTATCGAGTAAGTGATGGACTGTTGATTGACAAGGACTCAGCCAGGCCAAGAAGAAGGCACTGAGAAGGTAGCAGGAGAGACTCTGGGACTCAGGGACACACCTACTGCCCACAACATCAGCATTTATCCATTTAACCATTACTTCACTTGCCTAGCAGATCTATCATTCACACATATTGCTCATATTTTCATTCATTTACCCACGTGCTTAACATTCACTGCTGTCTTTGTTTAATTTTTTTATTTATGTATGAGAGTGCTGTGCTACATGCATGCCTGTGTACCGTGTGTGCCTGGTCCCCACTGAGTCTAGAGAAGGCATTGGAATCCCATGGATCTGGAGTTACATTTGGTTGTCAGCCACCGTGTGAATGCTGGTAATCAAGCCCAGGTCCTCTAAAAAGCAGCCAATGCTCTTAACCTCTGAGCAATTCTCCAACCCTATTTGTTGTCTTTTATTCACTCATTATCCACTCTTTTACTCATGGCATTCATTTACTCTCCACTCATATAGTCCTTGGTCATATTAATCTGTGCTCTGCGCCACATGGAGGTTATCAGGGACACTAAGATGGCTGTTGCCTTAGTATGAGGGATGAATCTCCATGCTCTTGGGGACCAGAGGTAGCCCTTGAGAGAAGACAGGGTGGAGTTAGGGAGAAATTTTGATGCCACTTGCATTTGAGTTGGTCCCTAAATGGTAGCGTGAGGTGCTTTTCTAACATAGAGAAGGAAGAGAGGGTCCCCAGGCAGAGGTCTCTGATGCAAAGGGAAGGTCTCCTTAAGAAGAGAATCTGGTTCTCTGCTCCTGGTGTGTCAGGAAGGAAAGGGCAGCAAGGTGGAAGGGATGCTACAGCTAAGGCCAAGGAGGGAAATGCAAAGTGTGCTGGGGCCAGCACCAGGGGGGGGAGGAGAGTAACCTGGCCAGAGGGGAGAAATGTGAGAAAGAAGACAACAGTAAAGCAGTTGGCACGGAGGATCTGAAGTGCAAAGCCAGGCAAGCTAGACTGAAGCAGAGAGACTGACTGTCTGCCTTTCCCCTGCTCCTGCCTCCAGGGTGCCCAGCTTGCAGCCTCAGGAGAGGGCCTTGATCCAATTCAACATTACCCCCTCCAAAAGTGGCCCAAGGCAGCTGCAGGTGGACCTCGTCAGCTCGCAGTTCCCGGATGTCAAGGGCTTTGTGATCATCAACGTGGCTACAGCCAAGTGAGGGGCCAAGAGTGACTTGGGGAGGATTCTGTCCATCTGTCCAACTGTCCATCTGCTTGTTCTCCCATATAAGAGCCAGGAGTCCTGGGTTAGCCCTGCTTCCGTCTTTGCCCTCCTTCATGAGTTTAGGCAAGGTCCTTCCCGGTACATTGAGGTGCTGGACTCAGTAATCCTTCCCCTTCAGGACAAGTGGGTGATGTAAGAGCTGAAGGATCTTCCAACTCTCATCACCTTTCTGCTGGGAGAATGGCATGGCCCAGCCTCCAGAGAGCCCTGGCCAGCACAGTTAGCTCTGCCAGCTCAGTCCAGGCAACTCACCACTCCTTGCTTTTCTCTTATTTCTTCAAATGTCCTGGCCACATTTGGGCCCAAGAATTCTCCAGGTCAAAATGCTGCCATTATAGAGGAGCCTTCCTGAAGCCATAAAGCACAGTGGAAGCAGAATTGAGAACCATGCCACTCACCCAACTGGTACCCCAAACTCGTGCTCTTAAAGAAGCATTGGATCTTCAGCAACAGGGAGATTTTCCCTTCAGCAGAGACACTGACTCTGGATTTCAGAGTCAAAAGAGTCAGAAGACAAAGTAGTTCTCCCCCAAGCTCAACAGCATGGATCCGCTCTGGCTCGGGCCATCCTGGAGTTCACCAGATGACCCTGAATCACCCAGCCACTCTTTCTTGGAACCAGGATGGCTGGCACTGTGCAGATGCTACACTTGGAGTCCAAGCAGGACATGGATACCTGAGATAAGGACCAGTGTAGTCACCACTGGGCCACAACACTGGACATGAAATTTAGCACTGAAATTTCCTGGACAGCCAAAGAAATTAAAATTAAGCTACCGTTGAAGAAACTTTGAACAGCACTACAGGTGCCATCTGCCATGTGGTGCCTCTTGGGTACAAATGAAGACAGGAGAAATGGCTCAGCAGTTAAGAGTGCTTTCTGCTCTTCTAGAGGGCCTGAGTTTGGTTCCCAGCACCCATGCCAGACAGCTCACAACCTCCTGCAACTCCAGCTCCAGGGGTTCAACACTTCTGTGCACATGAACCCTCCTCCCCAAACACCTACCGTTGAAATAGAATAAATCTTTTTTAATACAGTTGAGAATAATTTATGTTGAGAGTCAATTTACATAGTATTTGCTAGATGATTCTTGTGGTGCCCCCATACAAGTACTTCTCTGACAATTATACAAAATGTGAGATGAGACTTGAAGGCCAGATGAGTAGATGTGTCAGAGGCTTGAGGCAGGAGGATTGCCATGAGTTCAAGGCAAGCCTGGGCCACAGTATGTGACTGACAAGGAGCTCATGGGTTCAACACTGGTAGAAGTCAAGAGAGCAAGAGTAAACAGAGGGAGCAGCCTACCCCTGCTGAAGGCCCTGTGGGAGCCAGGAGGGTGGGGACACAGCTTTGCAACTAAACTCAGTGGGACAATGTTTGTGTTTGGTGCACAAGGACAGCCTGCCAGGTAGCTGTTTCCCAAACAACTCCTTTTCCCTGGTGCTTCCCAGCTGACCAGAGATAGGACTTAAATGGCGCCAAACTAGCTTCATGAGACGTTCTAGTCCTGACTGGCAGCACTAAGGCTTTTCATGAGAGTCAGGCTTTGTACATCTTTTAAGTCACTCCAGCCCCTAAAGACTATCTGCTTTCATTAAGTCTCTGAACACCGGTAGGTGAGGAACCTGGTCTTCTTCACACCTAAGTCTCCCTTCCCAAGCCTTTAGTGCAAGGGCTGATCAGCCAATGTCAAGACCCAGCATAACTTTTTTAGGCTTTGCAAACCAGGATGCCTCTTTTCTAACTGTTCAACTCTGATTATACAGCATTGAGGATAACATAGATGGTGCACAACCAAATAGATGTCAGGGTAAATATTATTTAAAACAGGCTGCAGACCAAGTCTACCCTGGGTTAGAGTTGCCCAACCATTCCACAGAACAGCAGACTAACTCAAACTAATGTCCAGCTCCATCCAGAGCTAAGACAAAGCTTTGATCATCTCCTTAGTGAAACTAGATAAACTCCCAATTTCAGACAGTGATTCTAGATTAAGTTGTGATTCAAACCGGGTTCGTCTTAAACCCCGCTATTAAACCAAACCATAACCCTTGTCCTCAAACCAAGACCTGGCTTATACAAAACTGAATCCATATTAACATTGCCCCTGAGCAACTCTCCACAGACAACTCTGAGGCCAGACTGCAGTTCCCACCCAACACAAGGATCTGATTCTAACCTCTTGGTTGAACCCTGATCCTAGACCGACCCCTAACCTCACTTAGATCTATCTTTAGGCCTTGGTTTCAGCTATTCTTTCCAAAGCTGTGCTTCTAAAATGAGACCCATACCTGCTGTCCTAGCCACTGAGTGAAAATGACTGTCTGCCCGGACCAGGTCTCTAAGCATTATCTTCCTTTCTCTTCAAGGATATGGGATAGAAATACTGAAGTGTGTTGTGCCCCAGTCCTCACTGAGAGAAGCCATACCCAAAGTGCAGTCCTCACAGAGTGTCTTAGTCAGGATTTCTATTGCTGTGATAAATACCATGACCAATGCAACATGAAGATTAAAGGATTTATTTCAACTTACAGTTCCACATCACAGTCCATCACTGAGGGAAGTCAAGACTGACACTGAAGGAGAACAAAAATCTGAAGGCAGGAAATAAAGTAGAGAACATCGAGGGGTGTGCTTTCTTGCTCAGCCCAAGACCACTGGCCTAGGGTTAGGGGTGAGGGGTTAGGGTTAGGGTTAGGGTGGCATTGTCCACAGTGAGCTAGGTCCTTCCACATCAATCATTAATCAAGAAAATGTCCCACAGACTTCTCACAGAACAATCTGATTGAGGCAGCTCCTCAAGATTCTCTCTTACAGGCGATTGTGGTACACAGATTTAATCCCAGCACTCGGGAGGCAGAGGCAGCCTGGTCTACATAGTGAGTTACACAGAGAAACCCTGTCTTGAACCCCCTCTCCAAAAAATTTCTCTCTTCCCAGGTATGTTTAGGTTTGTATCAGGTTGACAAAAAACCAACCAGCTCACAGAACATGCTGTCTCATGGGTCTCATTTTCTGATGCATGTACTCAAAGAGAGAAACTGTGACAGTACCAGCCCTGGATAGGTCACCTGCTACTCCTAGTAGCACAATGACTCCACAGCAGGAGTCATTGCGGTGACGGAAAGGGGCTCCTGGATGCTCCAATAAATCATCCCCAAGCTCAGGGCTGAGCTTCCCAGAAAGCCACTCAAAGGTGGAGTTTAAGAGTACAAGATATTGAATAAGGAGTAACCTGGGATCCAATACCAATGGCTAGGGTTGAGAGAGCGGGTGTGAGTAGAGGGAGGAGCTGAGCCATGATGGAGGCCCTGTAACAGCCTTGGGCAATGTGTCCCCTCTCCTCACCTCAGGAAGCTCCAAAGTTGGAATGGCCTGTCAGAGTGTCCAGGTTGATTGGTAGGGCTATGTTTCTCTGATGGAAGCCATCAGTGATTTGTCTAAGAACATGGTGCTGATCAGGAGAGGGCTCTATAACTGGGATGTCCCTAAGAGCACAACATCTAGTGGCAGTGAGCAATTAGTGCCACTGAAGGGGGTGGGGTGGCCTGTGTCTAGACCCACACTGAATGCAATGTAAATTCAAGGACAAGACTGTCCACATGTCCCTCACACACTCTCTAGCCAGTGAAGACAGGTGTCTAATCTGGGCATTTTTTTTTACAGCATGACACACAAAGTAAGAAATAAAAGTAAACACATAAATGAATTATTGAATAAATCAACTAATTGAATTTAGTGTTGAGTGCCAAAAAGGAAACAAAAGTGATAGTCCTATTTTTAGAGAGAAAGCCTCTCTGAGAAGGCTGGGTTTTAATTACAATAAAAATAGTTCTTAAACTAGTTGTGCATGCTGGAAGCTACTTCGGGATCCTTACAAATGTTCATCTTTCCTTCACAGCAACTCTGCAGAAGACCCTCTTATTGTCCCCTCTTTGCAAATGAGAAAGACAGGGTACAAAAAAGTTAAGTCATTTGCACACAATCACACAGCACCTGTGATGGCTAACAATATGTTTTAAGTTTAAATTACTGTGCTTAAGAGACCTATAAAACAAAAATGCCTTTAACCTATAAGCCCTACTTGCCCAAGGACAGACAACTTCCTGGAATGCTGGGGGCTGTTGTTAATACAAGATAACAAGCCAGTATTTTTGTGTCTGTAAACAAGTTTGTTTGCCCCAAAGGCACAGTATGTGTGCTTGATCATACATAGGCAGGAAGTATGTCAGGGTGTGTGCTTGTCTCTGATTGCACAAAGGCAGGAAGTACGTAACCTTGTGAGTTTTGCCTCTATAAACCCCTGACTAATGTCATTTGGTGCCATATTCTGAGCATGAGTCTCAGGTATGGATCTGGCCAGTATTTAATAAAGCCTCTTATTTGTTGGGGTGGGGGAGGAAGAGAGGGAAGGAGGGAAGGAGAAATGTTTAGATGCTGGACAGGTAGCTCAATGGTTAGGCACTGGCTAGGTTCAATTCCCAGTACCCACACAGTGGCTCACAAATATCTATAACTCCAGTTCCAGAGGATCAATGTCTTCTTCTGGCCTTCACAGGGAATAGGCCCACACTTGGTGTACAGGCATACAAGACACCATACACATAAAATAAAATAAATAAAAATTTAAGGAAAAGGAAATGCTTGCCTTGGCTCATGGTTTTGGAGATTTCACTTTGTGATTATTTGGTCTTGATGTTCTTGGGCCCCAAGTTGAAGCAGTGCATCATGGGAGGGAGCCCATGGTGGAGCAAAATTCTTTATCCATGGTGACTAAGAAATAAAAAGGGGGTAAGAGGAGAGACCAGGGTCTTACCCACTTCAAAGGTCTATCCTTATGTGACCAGATTTCCAACAAGGCCCCTTAAAAGCTTCAGTCCCCATTGATGGTCCCGTGGCAAGGACTATACAGGCCCGTGGGACACCTACCAAAA